AGGCCTTCTCTAATACGCGGGTTCAAATCCCGCCAAACGCATCGAGTTTTTTTACAATTGGGTCAACTCAAAAGACAAGGAAGACTGTAATGGCCACTTCTGACTAATTAGCCGTTATTATTCTGTCATACCCAAGTGTTGGCCCACACGAGGCTTGAAGCCGTGACCGATAAATCAAAACTCCAGCGCGCTAACCCACTGCGCCATGAGCTTTTTGATATTCTTTGATGAACGCTAAGCATTAGACTTTTGCTCAACGGGTCGCGGCAATTTTCATCTGCGTACAGCACTAGCCGATTTACAGATATTGGTGTGGCTCAAGAGTGAGCCCTAAGTCAAGACGGGACAAGTAAACTCCGGTAGCGATGGGTGTTTCGTCTCTTGACTTCTCCGACTGTATCCAGTAGCCACGCGTACGTCAAAACCAGTGATGACAACTATCAAGGTGGTACAGTACTATTAAGCAAAAATAGTAAAGGGTAAATAGCATACAAACCTCAACAATTGACACACTAAATCAAAAGAAAAGGCAGTCTATACAAGGTAACGACACATGTTCAAGAATAACGCCACGCAAGACGCAATTAGTCTTGAGAAACCTGGTGTGTGTGTTAGTGGGCGAGAGGGTTGCCTCCGCTTTTATATGATTTTACGAGAAACTTAATGTAGCCTCAGGATTGGTGTGAAACACCAACGCGAACGGGGGGAGTTTCGTTAACGGTGGCCACACGAAAGCGTCAGCGGCGGGGGGTGGCTGGATGAGTGATTCTCGGAGTAGCCGCTGCAACTGGATCAAGATGGGGGAGGGGAAAACGGACAATTGACATCAGCGGAGAGTCGATACCACCGTCGAAACCAAATCGGGGGGCTGGGGACAATATTCAGTCATGTGTGATCGAGTGAAATGGTAGAGACAGGAGGGGGACCAGTATTCAAGGGAGGAAGGGGACAGCCGGGTAAACAATCCATTTAGGTCACACGAGAGTTTTCCATGGAGAATTGCTGGGGAGAATTCCAGACTTGTTCAGCCGGAAATAACAATGGAAGAACATTCATCAACGAGTGGCTAGCGCCTCGACTGGCCTTGTCACCATCGCATAAACGTTTGTTGTGAGTTTGGCCGGCCCTCAATCCCGGTTCCGCTTATCTGTAGCGTGCACAAATTATCCACCAACTGACGACCTGGATAGGATCACACCAGGGAGAGAGAGAGCTGGATCTTAGCGATAACCCTGGCGTGCTCACACAAACACTGCGCGTTTAGGAAAGGTAAATAATGTCCGGTCAAATACCGCTTACTACCTTGTACACTGAATGGATACATCGCCAAGGCTGGTTTACTTTTAAATACTGGATAAATGTTAATCATAATATGTATAATTTCCGGACAATCTGTACAATTCCGAGAGTTGCCTATAGAACCTGGTGGTTAAGACTTCATATAATGTTGGATAGATGAAGTAAGTTGCATTCCGAGGTGATATGATGAAAAGAAAGATCTTCGGATAATCGAGTTGTACTCGTGAATTTTCGAACAGGTATCGCTTTTTCGTCACCAGACTACATGAAAAGTGAGAGCAAGGAATGTCGCACTAGAGGTTTTGAGGGCAGAGGTTACAACATGGAAGGAATATCTGAAAACATCTCTCGGCAACTAAGTCGTTTCGGCATCTCCGTCGTCCACAAGCCCGCATCCTCACTGCACGCAAGCCTATGCCGAGTAAAGGACCCCCTACCCGTGGCACAACTAAGTAACGTCATTTTCTATATACCGCGCGCCGGTTGCCCTTGTGTTTATATTGGCCAAACAGGACGATGTCTTGAGACTCGCATCAACGAACGTAAATCAGCCGTTCACCGACGGGACCCTTCATCACGCGCAGTTGCACACTCCCTTGAGTGTGATCACCGATTCAACTGGAATGGCACTGAGGTGATCGCCATGGCTATAACGAGGCAAGCGAGAGAATTCATCGAAT